TGACTTGCAATGGAAGTTCTCGCGCAATTTCACCGATTTGCGCCCCCCAGGGGCTCGAAAAGTAGGAATCCATGGGGGGTTGAACCCCTCTAACGTTCTTAGAACTTAACATTGGTCCTACGGACGTTGCCTGGATAAAAACCAAAACAAAATGTCTCTTGGCTACCCACTTTGACGAGCTTACATTTTCCGTGTGCGCCCCATGGAATACCGGCTGACCTATGGAAGAATGCGACTCCATCGTTTGACATACACTGTGGCCTAGCTGCCAGCATCGCTCGGTGTCCAGCTTTAAAGTATAACGGCTAACCAGCTTACATTCTTGTTAACTACGCTTCGACAAACGCTAAAATCAACAACTTGATGGCTTCCGATCTACTTGTAACGTGCTTTCTTGCCAGGTTTAGGTGCTGCGGGCGGAAAAAGTCGGTTTAGCTTCCAGTACTAAGATCCTCTGTGTAAATGTCATTTAACTCTTGCAGCATTTGAAGCTCATTGTTCGCACTTTGATCAAGAGCGTGACACTCGTACGGGACGCAACAACCTTGCCCCGTGCTGCGTTTGGGGTTGACAGTCGTTGGTTCTGTGATCGAGCCTTCTGGGCTTGCTTTACTTGGCTCCTCAATGCTGAAACAGGTGCTCTATGACGCTTTCTCTTCGTCAGCAGCCTTAAACGCACCGGCCCTCCCCCTGGAGAAGTCCAGAATAATGTCATTGCTCGTGTGCGCGATGCAAGCCCATCCTGTTAACTGAATGCATGCATGAAGGAAGTGCTTGGCCTTTGACGCGAGCCCGCTGGCTTATAGGACGGCCAAACAGCAGTTCTTGAACTTAATGGTATCACGGTGAATAATGATGGAGTGCTGCATGATAAATAACCTTTCTCGTTAAGCAGATAGTCACATCAGTTGGATATTGTCGGAATAAACGCCCCAGTATGGTTATTGTTAACATTCCAATCTTCTCAAGCAGATGTTTAAAAAACGGATACATTTTACTGCAGACAGTTGCAGACAGTCACGCAAAGTATGGCAACGTTTGAACGATTGCTCGCAGTTCCTGGTGACTGTTCTGACTTGTTACCGGAACGGTGCCAGGCAACTCTTTCATTGGCACTCAGTGCAATTCCAGAAAGACGGCTGGCACTTTTCCCGGGCATGACTTATATTCCTTTTTTGCTTCCGGCACTCACTCCATTTTTTCCGGGGTACCTACGCACAGGAACCCTTAAACTTGAAATACGACTTGCGCATGAGTGTAAATCAGCTCGAATGGTGTCACGTTTGCATGCTCAAAGTAAAGAAAGGTCTGCAGTTGCTCTGTATCACGATAATCACGCGTACCCAACGCAGCCAAGACACGCACACGCCTACTCACCCGCAGAACGCGTTGTGTGAACCCGCCCGACAGACAGACAGACAACAGCGCCAGCGCCAGCGCCAGCGCCAGCGCAGTACTGGTACGGGAGGTCATGTCCTCTTGCGAGCATGGCGATGACCCCCTCCCATGCCGGCCATGTGAGCATAGCGGCGAGCCCCTCCCATGCCGGCCATGCAGGCCACACATGGCCCCCGGTCGGCCTCCGGACTCTGCGCCGGTAACGTATGCAGCTCTCGCCGAGGCCAGCATATGAATGCCGCCGGCGCCGGACGCTGCGGACTGCACTCGGATGGACTCACACCGACAGTCTGGGAACAGCGGAGAGACAGCAAAGACTGTAATGGCTACCTCCGCGGATGGACGCTGTTTGGATTGGGGGGGACAAACGATTCACGACCCATTGCAGCACAGGGTGATTTCTCCGCAATGTAAATTTGGTTATGTAGCTGGTGACTTGTAATGCCGCAGGATCCCAAGCGCACCATGAAGACTATAACACGGCCATTGGTGACGACGATCTCAGGTGTGTGATAAATTATGTACCCGCACACACGCACACACACACACACACAAACACGCATGCTCGCACGTACGCACGCACGCATGCGCTCACAAATCGGGGATCGTGTAACCAGTTAGCACTATGAAGTTTAAGGGTTCCTGTGCATAGGTACCTCGTAAATATAATAATATATATATATATATATATATATATATATATTTACGGGGTACCTATGCACAGGAACCCTTAAACTTCAAATACGACTTGCGCATCGGTGCAGATCTTGACGACAGACAGACTTGAACGCGCCATCACGTGCACTTGCACCATCAACATTCGCTCGTGTGTGAACCATCGTGCAGTGCATACCATTTCAAAATTATATATATATATATATATATATATATATATATACATGTATTAACTGCTTAATAATTCGTATGCTTAATACGAATTATATTCGTATTAAGCATACGTATAATAAATTAAATTCGTACTGCTTAATAATTCGTATATATATATATATATATATATATATATATATATATATATATATATATATATATGTATATATATGTACGTATGTATAGAAATATATTAGGCATATTTGAAAAATTTATATATTTGTACCTATGTGAATATTATATGATAGCATTTTAAGTTTTTATGTTGCAGAAAAGTATCAGCAAGTGAAACACAAATGGTATATACTGGTAGGCTTTTTGCAGGGTAACCTTTGTTTAACCATCCCACGTCTGACGGAAGTGACTCCGAGAAAATAAAGCCAGGGAGATTAGGTGTAAGTGATGGGGCTCGATCTAGCTAGCCCTGGAGGGCCATCCGCTCTGACTCATCGTTACGCACGTTGGAAGCGCGCCCTACTCACTCATCCCTCGGGAGGGTCTGAAGGCGGGCAACACCATATTTCATGCGAGCGCCATTGCATTGCAATGCAATGGTTTTTCAAGGTAGAGGTGAATTCTTTAGGAATAAATGCCAATTACAAACTTTGCCGCTGAAAATTAGCAAATTTTACTGGGTTAGAATGCAACGAATAAAAATGTTCCATTGCGAAGATAAGTACATGGTGCACATATCACCTTTTTACACATCATCTTAACCTCCATGTTGGATTTGTATGGTCAGACGTCATTTTTACGAAGCATACACACTAGGGTGGAAGGAACACTACTGTGGGTCGCAAGACAACGTCTTATAGGTGAAAACGTGTGCGCGTGGATCCGTATACCTGGAAAATATCGGGGCTAAAAATTATCAAGAATGTTGTAGACGAGGCGCACGGATTGTGTTCGAAAATATCTGAACGCTCTTACGCGTTAAAATCTGCAATTGCGTGAACCGTCGTGCGAAGGAAAATAACAACATGATGCCGTCCACTCTACATATGCGTCGTTTCGCTGTGCGCTTAGCGTATGGGATTCACTAGTTACACTGTACAGTGTGCAATATCACACAGCACAGTGATGGTAAGCTGGGAGACGGCAGGAAATTCAAGAAGCAAAAAGAAATAGAAGGGAAGGAGAGGTAGTTGAAGGCCCAATGCAAAATCACAGTAACCGTTTTGTGGGATTTACCGATGACAGCGAAAAGACAAGACGCAAAAGCAGCTGGACAATAAAACAGTGTTCGCCAGCGAAATGCATGAGTAAGTAGCTGATGAACTTGACCGTTTATTTGTCGACCACGTGCCTCTAATGAGCGCGGATGCGGCAAATAATGCGAAGAAGATGCTAGCCATGATCTAGGACAATGTCTGACACCCAACGACGCGGGATCTGGTGACAAATGTGTACATACCGGCTGCAATAACTGTGTAGAAGTGAATTGAACCGCGCGAACGTCCTCAACTCAAGCACGCTAAATACGGCATCCCCTTCAACAAAGTGAAGCTCATGCATGCATTCAAAGAGGCTGGTGGTCAGTTATCCGGCGGAATAAATTTGCGGTGAGGGTCGGAGGGCTTTGACCACACTGCTTTCATGGATAAGACAGTAGTATTAGCCTTATTCCTTGGAGACAAACCGGGAGAATGGAGATATAGTTGAGCTGGTATTTCGGCAACATGCCTCTATCCAAACAATGGCAAAACCCTCGTTTCTAGCTTAAATAGCTTCTAAATAAATAGCTTCTGCTATGATAGGAATATTATAGGCTGTAAATAGCTTCTGCTATTGTTTCGATAAAGGCATGTTGCCGAAACATCGGCCCAACTATATTTCTATTCTCCTGGTTTTTCTCCGAGGAGTAAGACTAATGCTACTGTGTTATCCATGTAACTAATGTTCCTCACTAATGCACTGAACGACTTACACGCTACCTTCAGTTCGGTTTGCACCGGTGGCGAGGCTAGTGCCTCCCATTTCCAAACGAGTTTAGGAAGCTGAACAAAGCTCAGCAGCCTTATTTCTATGTATATAGCTCCTCACAAATGTACTTAGCAACTTACATAGCAAAGCAATACAATACCATATCTATGAAGCCCGTTGGGTATTTGTGGGGAAACAAAATGCCACGCCTGTACAGGTTGACAGAGGAGCTGGTGCTGACCCTGGCGAGTGTACTATTTTTTATGATGATACGGTCCGGTCCAGATGATGATACGGTGCGGTCCAGATGATGATACGGTACGGTCCAGGTTCATTTAACTACAGAGGTCGTTCAAGCATCAGCGGCGGGGCCAAAAACCTACTCTGCTTGACGATTCCGTCCAGAAATTTCTCAGTGACCACTGACACGCAGAAAGGTTTTCGGCGCAACGAGTTCTTCCCCTGTTATCCTGAAATTGATGTCATCATGACGTTAACTTCGATGACGAGAAGTGTCAGGAAAAGATGAACTGGAAAGATGCAACTGAACCACAGCTGGTTGTGGCAATGCCAGATGAGCTCATTGCCGCAGGTGTGGAGGCCCCTGTTCACAACAGCTATATTTTCTGTCACTCACATGGGATCGAAAGATGGGTGTGAGATGTGATATAGGCGGCGGAGGAAAATGTCGGACATACTGGACGTCATGCACTGATGATTGATAAAGCCAATCTAGAACCAATCTGCCAATGATGGACACGATGAAGGCCTTTTATGCATGGCCTCGAGTGAGCGGCGCACACTGAGTTTAGCTGCTGGGGTTGTCTGACGTTAACGATGTGTTGTGCGTTACTATGCAGATGCCTCTTTGGAGTTTAAGCACATCAGCGCGACACACAGCGATAGGGCGACGTCTGTGACTATCCAGGGTCTGAACGAGGGAAAACGACACGGATATTCACGTAGATTACTTGCCAACTCATTATGCGCAATGCTTGAATCAGTAGAGACTTTAACCCTTGATGGCTGGACTTTCCGTTGTCAAAACTCTTCGCACGCTCTATCAAAAATATTTAAGATAATGTTTGGTCCTAACCTTCCGTTCGTGACGCACGTGACGGAGACACGCACGTGTTTTGGGCCTCAATAAGTCGCTTTATATTTTCGTCTCACTCTGATGAATGAGTCGACACGCACTACATACGCATATCGTGTGCAAATGTGTATCATCACATATGCACACGCATATCAGGTGAAACACACGTAGCACATACAGAAAAAGTGAAAAAATATACCAGGGAACACAATGAGGCGGCCAACGCCATCCACGCGAGTGATCTGCAAACTCGCTGCGTGAGGTTCTTTATGTGCATGGGGTGATTGATTTGTGCCCTTCAAAACAAACAGCTCCACGTGGACGCAGTTCAAAACCCCAAAAATGCACCTGACTCCCAGCTGTGTTCAATCACCGAAGCGAAATGAGAGAGCGCAAGGGCATAGCGCTGGTGGGAGGGTACCGCAGTAGCGTCCGTTTTCCCCAGGTCTGCTTCAGACTACCTCGCATAAACCATAAATCAACTTCGGCGAAGGTCGTTTTTACAATCTTTGAATCCGGTTCATAAGTTTGCGTGAAGAATGTAAACAAACCGTGCACCCGTGCATCCAACGTCCAGGCTTTTCGAAAGTCTCAGTACTACGTTGAAATATGATCATCTCCGCGTTGTGTCGGGCGTGAAGTCTGTTGGCCATGCAGGGCAGTGTGGCGGGACAGATAAGACAACGCCTCACGCATAACTTCTCCGAGCAGTTCGTGGCAATGGCAGGCCACGCAGAGATAGGCCTCAGACATGTGGGTCAGTTGTATTCCCTGATTTATTCATTGGAGAGCCAGCGGCCATTTTCCAGTCGGGCGGAATAATCCCGGACAGGGTAGAATAATTTATCAGGTGTGACAAGTGAAGAGCTATCACCGGGAACATGACACGCAACGCAGACGAAGTGATCTCATTGTCCATGCGTGTTTTAGAGGCCCGTCGAGCGCTGGCCAGGTCCGGCATCGCAGCGTGTCTCGCCACGGGCAAGCCCATCCCGAATATCTCGGATAACAACACGTCTATTGTCCAATATTTTCTCAAAATCTGGTGGGATCTGTATGCCAGAACCGCTCACAATCGTGTGTCTGTTTTCGTTGCGGCTGCGAGTCGTGGAGGAGGCCCCCACAGATGTGTCCACCCGAGTCTGGGCTGGCAGGCTCTTGGGACTAGCAAACCCCCGCAGCGACGCCGCGCGTCGGGCCAGCGGCACGGTCCGTTCAGCCTTCCCGGGCGCCTTTGAAGCAAGCCTTCAAAGTGACCCGATATCGACCTGCGTGGCCCGTAAGCAACGATTGAATTGGCCATTGAAGAATGGCCTTCCCATTGCCCTGTCGTCGTGAGTAGGCAGTTTCCATGACCGCGTTTAGACTCCTGCCTTTGGCCATGTGCGGTGGTGCTCGCTGACGGGGCGCCTCGCGTATTGATTGCGTCTGGTTCTTACTGAGGTCATAAGCTTACTGTGAGCAGCGCCGCTGCGTTGGCTGACATCGGAGAAACGGTGATCACTCACATGGGCGGGGACATTTATTGGCTGCACTGGTCAGCTAACACCGTGGACATGACGACGAGGCCCGCCTCAGAGTAACGTGAATGTTGGCCACGCTGTCAAAGTTGGAATCCTGGAGGGCGACCACGTCGCAGCCAGAGTTTTGCCGCCGCCAGAGTCGGAGTCTGGCCCCGTCAAAGCAAGTCCAACTGCTGTCAGAGCCAGAGTCCTGCCCCATCAGAGCCTTAGTTCTGCCGCCGTAAGGGCCAGAATCTTGGTCTTGCCGCTGTGAACCTGCTGACCACTCTGACGACGCGCGCAGCCGAGCGGGTTGGCCGAGACTAGCACGCTCGAATATGTGCTTGTTAGTAGCGCTGTCTTCTGGTCGATGTCGCTGTCGTTTGCCGATTCCGTCTTCGGTTCTGTTGAGAACAGCGGAGCGCGTGCGCCTTCCTGGTAGCAGTCCTAGACTGCTGCCCTAGTGCGCGCCCCCAGCCGACCCCGAGTGGCCGGTTGCCAGTTACACGGCCGCCGCGCTGAATGGGTCAATGGGCTATTGTGATCATCAATAGGCGTCATATGCGGGGCACCAGGCGGACAACGAGCCATCAGTAAATGTCTGCTTAGAACTTGCCCACCATATGGAGCAAGACTTTTATGCAGGAGCCTTGGCTACTTGACGATCAGTGGCCCTGCCAAGGTTGGATCCACGGGGGGCAAGGAAGTGAGAGAGATGGGGAACCTTTGATGGGGCCCTTTCCGAGACGGCGTGGAACACTCAAGCTTGCACCATTTTTTGTTGTGTTTGCTTCAATTCACGTCAAATGTGAAACTTTACCAACTAAAGGGGTGATTCTTCGCAAGGTTCAATTCTGGATCCGCCCCTTAGCCCAGCTATGCAGGTTAGGGAGTCAGCACAAAGTTACATGGTATGTTTTTGCTCATGCATCTCATTCCCCAACAACTAGCAGCGATGATGCTGTGGGCTCCGGCGCTCCGAGCGTTGATCGGTGTGATGTGGCGGCGGCTGCTGGGCCGATGCTGGGCGGCTGTTCGGCGCGACGAGAGCGCGTTCTGACCGCCCCGCCATCCCGCAGTGCCTCCCGGTGAGCCGCTGGTGTTCGACGACCGGCGGAGGGTGGTGACCAACTGGACGTCGGCGGTGCCTGAGGGCCGCTCTCTCTTCCTCACCTGCGAGGTCTCCCAAGGTAGGCGGCCATTGGAAATCAAGAGGGGAGGGGGGTGAGTTCGATCTCGGACACGTCACAGGAGGGTATCTTGGATCCGGTATGTTCGTTGCTGCAAGTGGTACGGCTGTCGTTTTGAGTGCACTCGAGAATGCGATGTGGTAATATGAGGTGTACACGGAACGTATCTTCATCAAACTTACCGATATTATTCAGTTACTAAATTGTGTGTACAGTTAAGCCATTTACAGCTATAAATCAACTTTGTACAGCCCTCAGCTGCAAACCTCAGTTGCCTTCGGTGAACATTTTGCCTGAGATAATTGTTGCTTGGTAGTTTCTAGCGGCAACAGTGGGGCAATTTGTCTTCATAATTTCGCGTGTCGCAAACTGCCACGATGAATCAAAAATACGCAATTTGGCAGTTTGACAGTATTGTATTACCACAAACTCAACCATCTCGCCACTCTTCCACGTGGTCTGACGGCTCAAACAAACTGTGACAAGTGGAGGCTCCCAGACAATCGCAGCGATGCCTGACATTGTTCGGCGCGGCGTGCCTTCCTGAGGCCATCCATCTCACGGCCGCTGACCAAGCACCGCCGCTGCCCACAGGCAGTCCCCCTCCCACGCTGACGTGGACGTTGAACGGGCGCGAGCTCGACACGGCGACCAGCATCGCCGTCGACGGCACGGTGCGCAGCGACCTGGAGATGAGCCGGGTCACGCGCGCCGACCTGGCCGCCCAGTTGACCTGCACGGCCGCCAACACCAACCTCACCACGTCCAAGGCGGTGTCGGTGCGCGTGGACATGGTGCTGGCGCCGCTGGTGACGCAGATCCGGAACGTGCCGCTGGCGGTCAGCGAGGGGCGCGTTTACCAGGTCACGTGTCACAGCAGCGGCTCCCGGCCGCCGGCCGCCATCACCTGGACGCTGGACGACAGGAAGGTCACGTCCGGCATCGTTGAGAAGGTGAACTGACCTTAGCTGGGCCTCTGTGTGCGGCGTGCGGGCCACTTGATTGAGCGGTGACCTGAGTGTCGCGACGACCTGGGACTTTCCATCGGAACTCTTTGCTCAGTTTTATGGATTTCGTTCTCGCGACAGTGTGTGGCAGTTTCGACTTGGTCTCGACGCCATTTACTCCAGCCCTATCAGGCCGTGACTGGAAGGTAAAATGATGCATTTTTTAAACAAACTTCCCCATCTCAAGGGGCACCGCAGGCTGGCAGTGAACGTTCCCTCCACCAATAAAATGTAAACCGCCGTCCTAGCGCCACTTCGATTGTACACGCCCCACGTAAGGCTTATCTGAACACCATAATTGTCTCATTCAGTCAGCGAATGGGCCCACCTGGCGCTATCGCGCGCCACCGCGCCTCAACGACCCAAGTTCCCGGCCACATGTCCCGATTGCAGCGGGTTGTACCACCGACCTGTCACATCAGATCCGCCGTGCCTCGCGGGGGCCGCGGCGCCACTCCGTCCCCATCTGCCGCTGCCCACCCGAAATCTGTCGGCACCGGGGCGATCGTTTCATAAACCACTCGCCGCCGCGCGGTGCTCGGCCGCGTCGGCCACCCGCCACGCGATTTGCATTTTACGAGGTCGCGGCCCCGTCGACCGGCGGTAACGGCGGTCGTCCGACAGATTTCGGCCGGCGGCAACCTGACGACCAGCTCGTTCTCGCTGACCGTGCCGGCCGTGCGGCGACCGTTGCGACTGCGGTGCAGCGCGCGCAACCCGCACCTGCCGCTGGCGCCCGCCTCCGGCGACACCAAGCATCTGGTCGTTTACTGTGAGTACAGTCACTGCCGTCCTGCCTGCGGGGGTGGAGAAGGCTGCATTGGGGATGTATATATATATATATATATATATATATATATATATATATATATATACGTGTGTGTGTGTGTGTGTGTGTGTGTGTGTGTGTGTGTGTGTGTGTGTGTGTGTGTGTGGTGTGTGTGTGTGTGTGTGTGTGTGTGTGTGTGTGTGTGTGTGTGTGTGTGTGTGTGTGTGTGTGTGTGTGTGTGTGTGTGTGTGTGTGTGTGTGTGTGTGTGTGTGGTGTGTGTGTGTGTGTGTGTGTGTGTGTGTGTGTGTGTGTGTGTGTGTGTGTGTGTGTGTGTGTGTGTGTGGTGTGTGTGTGTGTGTGTGTGTGTGTGTGTGTGTGTGTGTGTGTGTGTGTGTGTGTGTGTGTGTGTGTGTGTGTGTGTGTGTGTGTGTGTGTGTGTGTGTGTGTGTGTGTGTGTGTGTGTGTGTGTGTGTGTGTGTGTGTGTGTGTGTGTGTGTGTGTGTGTGTGTGTGTGTGTGTGTGTGTGTATGTATGCACATATGTTTGCATTTTAGGGTCGAAATGGCACGTCGTAGAATCTCAGTTCAGTGTTTGTTTCACGTCACTGGCCTCCCAAGTTTGCGTTTCCTTTCGAGAGCTGTTACTCCCTAGTGTAAAGGGCGGTTAAAAGCCGCCATCGTCACTTTAAGTCAAAATACGGAATCGCGCCAGGCTTAGCTTCATTCCCGCGCAAGATGCATTTTAAGATTTTAGTTGCAAACAACTGCCTGGTTTCTCAAATTATATAATAAGTGATTTACGCCTATTTGATATCCTGCATAATGGTTGACTATTTATTACTGCAGCAAGTTTTTTTGACTTCTCTGTCTTTCACCGCTTAAAAAGTTCAATGATAAAACGCAGGATGTCCACAGGGCGTTTCAACTGGGTTGAGTGGGATATCCTGCAAACAACGGATTTCGGGCACGGCGTCAAGCCTTGACAAAACCAACCGATACGTTCGGGACCTGCATGTTGTGATGCAGTATTCTGGAAGACTGTGTCTATTTGCCTCCCCATATATCATGCCTGTGCCCCGTCCACCCGTGCAAGGCCCGTTGGCATGATACTTCCATCGCTGCGTGATTCATGCATCTTGTTGACGCATTGCTGCTGGAACATCAATCTTAGCGTTCGCTTACCTTGCCCGGACATGTTCATTTATGTTTTGTCTGGTCGAAAGAGGAAACAGAGGTGCACATGCCACTTTAAAACAAGCGACACGCATGCGTGGAGTACTTCCGGTACTCGGCATTCGTCATTTCTGCCAGACATTCCTAAGTGACAGCCAGCATCGCTCGCCATTCACGCTACCGTCTCTATAATTAACAGCATAAGCTCCCGAAAGCAAAGACGAATAATAAATTATGAGTCTTAGCCTACCGTTGCGTCTTGCGCCGTCACGGGTCGGCCTTACAGCCAGCCGTTGTTACATGACGGCCAGTTACGTTGTGACGAAAGCTGATCCGACACGTCCCCTGCTTTCAAGCTGGACGTTGCGTGCTTGTGGGGACGTGGCGGTCAGATTTGGCTGCCGTGACGTGCTTCCTGCTATCAGCTGGCGTTTTCGGTTGAGGATGTGGGCGATGGGCCCCATCTACCATTCCCTTGAATGTCCTGCAGTTCTGGATTAGATCCAGCTGAGCGCGCGGCACGGCACTGCCTCCGTTCCTTCTCGCCACACCACTCACCGATATGCCACCTTCAAAGCGTTATTGTCTGGCTGTTGGTCCGCGTACGCCGCTTAAGGCTCCGGCTTTTACGCAATGATCGATGGGTGCGACCTAGGCCACCGAAAGCCCGTTCCGGGTGATCCAGCGCTGTCAAACGTCTGTGGACCTAGCCTTGCAGCTCATTGATCACAGGTGGCATGCGTGCTAGCTGGCGGTTTGTCAACCGGTGGCCAGGACGGGACTAATTTCACACGGGTGAGGTGCAACACTCGATCATTGTCGGACGGGAGTCAGCCCGACCATCCAGGGACTGACATATATGGACCAGCTCTGCTGTCCAAGGACTGACATATATGGACCAGTTCTGCTGCCCAAGGACTGACATGTATGGACCAGCTCTGCTGTCGAGGGACTGACATATATGGACAAGCTCTGCTGTCCAAGGGCTGACATATATGGACCAGCTCTACTGTCCAAGGGCTGGCATATATGGACCAGCTCTGCTGTCGAGGGACATGCATTACTGGACATGGATATGTATGAACCAGCATTGCTGTCCGTCCATACACCGGCAGACGGACGTCGGCTTTGCTTAGGTGAGCCAGACTCCTGGACGCAAAGCAGTGCTGCCATTCGTGGGCTGACGGGTGTTGACCTGTTCAGCCAATTACACTCTCGTTGTCGCCGACAGCGTGTGAACGTGTCAGGGGCTTAGACGAGTCGAAGTCTCCTCAGCAAAGGGCGTCATGGAGACTTGAATGTCTGCAAAAGTTTTTTGAAAGACCAGATCAGTAACAAATTTAGTTGTTTATGACTCAATGACCAAAATCACAAATAGACTGAAACGAAGAATCTAAATTGTACTTAAGAGGCCATCTATAACGTTCTGTACCACAGTATTGGCACTGTTGTCCCTTCTTGCCTTGTTTACACAGTGATCACGCTGGTCAAAACCCCCTGGTCACACTGTGTTAGCCTAATGTCCCAAAAAAGAACACCCCTTAGGCCCAAGTTTAGCTGGCCATAGCTTCTTGCACCTCTGAGTACAAAATATAGATGGGTGTGTTGCGTGTCATCAGAGGAAGCCGATGGTACCTATCCGGCTTCAAGTTTTTTGCTGAAATTAGCATAATTTTCACTTTCACCTGAGGGTAAGGTTGTGCTGTCCAAAACCCTTTTTCCTTTGTTATGCTTTGGTTTCGCCCCACGAAAACCACCCGTGTAACTCCATGTGTGGCAGTGTATGAATGACCCCGAAAGGGTGTCATTTTCTACACCAAATTTTCCATTTTGACGCACTGGGCCTGGATTAGATCAGCCAAGCGCCGCCAGACAATGGTCCATCGTAAAGCAGGCATGGGCCCGCGGCCGGCCCACACAGCATTACCAGACCTCGGTCCATCGTACAGCAGGCATGGGCCCGCGGCCGGCCCACACAGCATTGCCAGACCCCGGTCCATCGTACAGCAGGCACGGGCTCGCGGCCGGCCCACACAGCATTGCCAGACCCCGGTCCCCGGTACAGCAGGCACGGGCTCGCGGCCGGCCCACACAGCATTGCCAGACCCCGGTCCATCGTACAGCAGGCATGGGTCCGCGGCCGGCCCACACAGCAGCAGGCATGGGCCCGCGGCCGGCCCACACAGCATTACCAGACCCCGGTCCATCGTACAGCAGGCACTGGCCCGTGGCCGGCCCACACAGCGCCGGACGTCCGCCGGTGCCGGCGAGGCATGAGACGGCCGGCCGCGCCATCAATCATTCAGACGGCAGCCGACAGACACGGCGGCGGCGCCTCCCGCGCCACGACGCTCCGTGCACGCCGGTAATGGCATTCCATTCAAGCCTGCCTGCGGACACAGCCGGGCAAACCCGACGCGAGGCGAGGCGGTGGCTGCGAGGCGAGGCGAGGCGGCAGCAAGGCGAGGCGGGCCACTGGACACTGACTCAGCGGCTGGAAACGGCTGGGCAGCGGCCGCCGACCGCCTCGGTCGGGCGCTATCAGCCCGATACGATTTATGACCTTAAATAGAGCGATCTTCGGCGGCGGTTTGACCCGTGGCTGGCGTGTGCAGCCGCGACGTCGGCAGCCATGGTAAGTAGTCATGACGAGCGTTGGAGCACTCTGACAGCCATAACAGACTGAATGGGCGCCTTTGATCCACTAGACTGTGCTCACCTTACTGAGATAAGGGCTTGTTAGGAGTGGCCTGGGAGTGAGCGCTTAAATCCATATTAGGAAGAAAGTGAATGTTATGTTATGTAAGGCTGATGGTTATATGCGCTTCACAGACTTGGTATATTGCCTTGCTGTTGTTTGGTACATTGTTTTGCTGTTGTTTTTTCTACTGACATGAGCGCGATGCATAAAAGAGATGCATTATTTTAGAAAAAAGATGCTGGCAGTCGGCACAAAATCGGGACCCACGGCCAAGAACTGGTGAGATAGAAACTTTGCGGGTACCACGACACGTTGGCCTGCGTTGAACTCATCGAAAGCTGGCACCAGTGCCACGCAAACCTAGGGGAGTTTTGTGCGGTTCGAAATGCACCTACATGACCTGTCGCCGGTGTGGTACCGGTACCAAGTTACAGGGAGCCCCGCGTCTTGTACTCGCACATTGCAGTGCAAGTTGCGCGTCTCGTGAAGGACAGTGATTTCATCGGCGTTGCGCAGTTTTCCGGAGACCACATGCTGGCAGCAGTACGCTGGTGGAGTATGAAGGTCAGCAGTGCCTTGTGCAGCAGCAGGCAGGTCGGCAGTGCCTCGTCCAATGCCAGCTTGATCGTCGTCAGGACTCTGTTCATGCTTCTGCATGATCGGGGGGATCGGTGACCGGCCCGCTTCGTTCTTCTGCACGCTTCCCAGCTGTTAACAGCTGCGGCTGATCTCAGAGTTCGTTAGCTCTGTGATTTATTTTAGTACCCCCTGAGCGCTCGTACTTACCCGTTCACTGCGATTGGGCTACCTCTCGTGAGAGGTTTTCTGCGAACGCTCGTGCGGCTGAGGTTATGTGTAAGCTGGTGAGCATGTCAAGATTACGTTCGCTGCCCGGATTTCGCTGCGCTTCCCCAAAATTAGCATGCGCGAGAGAGGGGAGAATTTCTAGCCGAGCACTCGTTTCAGCTTTGGTAGTCCCGCATTTCAGTGGGCATATTTCAATAGTCTGTTTGAAATTTTTACTCACGTTGCCAAATTATATTCGGAGGAATTTGGGATCACCTTGGCATTTTACACATTTAATTAACTGCATTTGGGACTTGGAGCATATCCGGTCAGCAAAAGAGTT